ACATTAAGGAGGTTAGGAAAATTGCCCCCACAAAAAATTTTAATGTTGACACCTCCATCTTCCCCTTAAGGTACATAAACCCTCATAGAAATCATGTTGGGCCCATCAACTCCTCCATCTTGTCAGATAATCCAGTTAAGTCTTCATTTCTTTCAGGCCCAGCCTGGACCCTCATGGCTCTACAAACAGTTGCGAATGCACAGGCTCAGGCTGAAGCTCCCCTGCTCCTTGAGACACAGGTTACTATTTGGGATATAAATTCTCTTGCTGCTTCACTGTAGGCCTGACCTTGACATCCATCTTAATTTTATTTCATGGATACATTTGGAGCACTCTGTTGTATGGTATTCTGTACCCCAGATAGGAGCTTCCTCCAGAGATGGAACAGCCCTTAAACAGACCCAGGTACTTTCTCAACCAGGACTTAAAGAATTTGTAGTACACTCAGAGAGATTTTAAAGTATAATTAAATATTTAAAGCTGTAAATAGTGGAGGATGGAAAAAGACTTCTGGGTCATGGGTAGCACCTTTCAAGAGAAAAATCATGTTAAAATCAGAAATCTCAGCTTTGTCTTAATAGCTATAAAACCATGAGCATTTATTTTGCTTTTATGCATTCTGAGTTCCAGAGACTCTAAGGAGTAATGATGATGACATACATACCTTATAGATTGTGCATGTTGTCTAGTATTTATTAAAATATGCTAGAAATAATGAGAAAAAAAATAAGCCTAATTATTCTCACTCACAGGAATGTTGACACTGAAAATTTGGAAAATTTGGAAGATTCTAATACTTGGGTTGTAGAAATAATAGAAATAATGCCCTGCTCTCTTCAGCAATCATACACCTGTTGCCAAACAGGAGCTGCTGAACTAAGCTATCACTCAGGATGCTGAAATACAGCATTGACAAGAGTGATGTAATACATCCTTGTCCTTTGGCAAGGAGTTCCTTTCTACCTCCTTTTAGCAGCTTCATAGTATCAATCCATGTGTATAATTCTTCATTTCAGGCTAATGTATGATTTTTTTTATTTTTTTATTTTATTTTTTTGACAGGCAGAGTGGACAGTGAGAGAGAGAGAGAGACAGAGAGAGAAAGGTCTTCCTTTTGCCGTTGGTTCACCCTCCAATGGCTGCCGCAACCAGCGCACCGCGCTGATCCGATGGCAGGAGCCAGGTACTTATCCTGGTCTCCCATGGGGTGCAGGGCCCAAGCACTTGGGCCATCCACCACTACACTCCCTGGCCACAGCAGAGAGCTGGCCTGGAAGAGAGGCAACCGAGACAGAGTCCGGAGCCCCGACCGGGACTAGAACCGGGTGTGCCGGTGCCACAAGGTGGAGGATTAGCCTAGTGAGCCGCAGCGCCGGCCTAATGTATGATAATTTAACATTAGCAAGTCAATACAATTTTAAAATTAGCAAGGATGGCTCTAAGTTAACAAGCATTAGGGCCAGTGCTGTGACATAGCTGGTAAAGCTGCCATTTGTAGCACCAGTATCCCATATGGGTGCCGGTTCAAGACCCTGCTGCTCCACTTCAAATCCAGCTCTCTGCTATAGCCTGGGAAAGCAGTAGAAGGTGGCCCAAATCTTTGGGCCCCTGCACCCATGTGAGAGACCCGGAGAAGCTCCTGGCTTCAGATAGGCACAGCTCCAGCCATTTCAGCCAATTGGGGAGTGAACCAGTGGATGGAAGACCTCTCTCTCTCTGCCTTTCCTTCTCTGTGTAACACCGATTTTCAAATAAATAAATAACTCTTTAAAAATAAATTAATTAATCATCAAGCATTTATTTTTATATTTTGAGTTGAAGTCTACCTTATTAGAAATATACAACTATATAACAGATGAAAGAATGTGTGTGTGTATTAATAGTTATAGTTCATATTAAAATAGGAAGCAAATGGTTGTTCATCCTAGTACTTATGATGTCTGCTTTCTACATTTGAGTAGCCAGGTTTGATTTCTGACTCTGGCTCCCAACTCCAGCTCTCTACTATTTCAGTCACTGGGAGGCAGTAATTGAATTTCCCTTAACCATGTGGAAGACCTGGATTTTGAGTTCTTTCTCTAGGCATTGTCCCTGGCCAAACCCTAACTGTGTGGCTTTTGGGGAGTAAACTAGTAGATGAAAGGTCTCTTCTGTTTTTTCTTTCTCACTGATTCTCTTTTTCTTTGTTTCTCTGCTTTTCAAATGAATATTTTTAAAAAGGAGAAAATCTCTTTGTAGTAGATAATATTTTTATTGAAACTTTAAAGTAAATGGCTTTGTGTACTAGCATATTTTTGGTTTGTTAAGTATACCTCATATACGAAAGACCACTCCCATAAGATGAAAAGCAAAGAAACTTCCCTACAGTATTCTTGCTATATGAATAACATCTGGGAAGTTGTAATAGAAACAAATATCATTATGTTTTATGTAAATAAATAAAATTAACTATATTATGTGAAATTAAGAATATTAGAAATGAACTGATTGTCCTGATTTTGGCAAAGTAGTAGGATGCATCTTGATGGTCACCATAAGACAGGGCCTGGCATCAAAATGGATGGGTTGTACGTCCACCAGGGTCATTTTGTACTTCTCTTCCCCTAACCTTGGGAAAATCAGTTGAATCAACAGTCCAGACACTGTGACAAACAATGTATCATAGACAATGGACACACTCCTACACTACCCTTGTACCCTTGCCATTTTGCAATTTGGAGACCACAAGGATATGTTATAACCAGGATGAATATATCAGGTATAAATAAATATGATTTAAGATTTAAATGGCCTTGCTTCAACCATAAAACTCTAGATTTTTCAAAGTATTCTTCTATATAAAGGATTCATGAAGCTTATCAGTTTCAGACAGATTTCTGAGGAAGAAGTGAGTTTTTCTAAAGATCTACAAAAATTTTATGATTATAATAATTTTAAACTGAAAATTGAGAATTCACAATCCATAAAATGCCCATGGCATTTCCAGGCACACAATTTTCAGATTTCTACAGCATAAGTTTAATGTGCATTTATGATTTTTGGCTCTTTTTTTAAAAGATTTATTTATTTGAAAGTCAGAGTTACAGAGAGGCAGAGGCAGAAAGAGAGAGAAAGAGAAAGAGAGAAAGAGAGAGAGAGAGAGAGAGAGAGTCATCCATCTGCTGTGGGGACCCATGAGCCGGCAAACGGTCAGCAAGCTAAGCCTTAGCATGTGGGCCCATGGCCAGCTCATGGGTCCCCACAATCTGCTGATTCACTTTCCAAATGCCTGCTATGGCTGGAGCTGGGCTGATCAGAAGTCAGGAGCTTGGAGCTTCTTCCAGGTCTCCAATGTGGGTGCAGGGGCCAAAGCCTTCTACTGCTTTCCCAGGCCATAGTAGAGAGTTGAGTCAGTAATGGAGCAGACAGGACAAGAACTGCCTCTCACTTTTTCCACTAAACCATGGTGCTGGCCCCCATTTATGCATTTCTTAGTGGATTATTCCCCTTTGTTAACGAGACTGACAAAGAGCAATAAAATATTGAACTGCCTCATGAAATCTTTCCGATAAAGAATCCAGTGTGTGTGTCGCCCCCTCTCTCTGTAAATAAATAAATAAATAAATACATCTTAAAAAATATCTTGGGGCTGGTGCTGCTGGTAAAGCCACCGCCTGTAGTTCCTGTATCACAAATGGGCGCCGGTTCAAGTCCTGGCTGCTCCACTTCCAATCCAGCTCTCTGCAATGGCCTGGGAAAGCAGTGAAGATGGCCCAAAGTGCTTGGGCCCCTGCACCCACATGGGAGACCTAGAAGAAGTGCCTGGCTCCTGGCTTTGGATCAGCACAGCTCCAACTGTGGTGGCCATCTGGGAAATGAACCAGTGGATAGAAGACCTCTCTCTCCCTCTCTGTCTCTTTCTGCCTCTGCCTCTCTGTAACTCTGCCTTCCAAATAAAATAAATAAATCTTTAAAAAATTCTCTACTGAAGAAACTCAAGTGAATGAAAACTGAACCATCTCAAAGGTGCTTAAATAACAAAAAGTGTTCCGGTTGTCTTCTTTAGTTCAGAGTTTATAACAACCAACTCATTTTGTTCCGCATTTATTTTACATCTTCTTAAGTCACAAGGCTTCCCTTTTGGGAGTTTGATGAATTTATAGCAATAAAGTCCTGAGATGTTGTTTGAAGATGCTACAAAAACTAGCAGTATCCCCTAATGGTCTGAAAAGGCTCAGACAACTCTGAAAGGGGGCTCTTAGGAGAGAGCTAAGCAGCTTACTGAAGAGCTGTGGAGAAAGGCCCATGTGCATACCAAAGGCTTGCCTGATAGCCTGTGGTAAATCAAGACCCAATTCATAATTACCAGTTACTGCAATTGATGCTAACTGAATTTGTACTGTAATTTGCATTTCTCAGTACTTTGCAAAATAATGATAATAAATATTGTTTCAGCCTCAGTACAATCCTTATTTTATATATATTTTAGTAAAATATGTGTGAAAGTTTCTCGAATCACTATTGCTTACAATCATCTCTGCTTCTGAACGCAACTGCGTCTTTATCACTTACTTCACAGTTTTGTGCACAATTACTTGGTAATATTTAAGTCTTTTACTCAAAAAGTGATTTTATTTTCCTACGTGTATGTGGATGCTTTTTCAAATATAAGTTCTTCAAAATCAGTATACCTCACAGCACACAGATGATTGAAGTATCCTCTGAAAACTGGGCTATGTATGTGCATGTGGGTGTGTTTGTGTGTGTATATGTAGGACAAAAAAATGATGTAAACACACCCATGCCATTTCCCAAAGGCTATCCCATTTCAGAGCCTCTGAAACATCCAACCTTCATTTTGGGATGGATTGCTGAGAATGGTGAGCCCAATAAAACAACACAAAGGCTGTGGAGTTGGATTTTAAACTTACTATTTCATTTTTTTCTTTTAACATATCACTTCTAATATCACTGATTATGCCGTGATACCCATGAAAGTAAAATGAGGAAGTGGTACTTACAGAGTTTGTACTGAGAAACAGGTGGATAATTGTGGCTTCTATTGACATGGGGAAGAAACAGATGTTGAGAGACAAGCAGAAAGCAAGAGTTCTATTCTACATTGCCAACTCTGAGGTGGGTACCACACTTCCAGATGAAAACGTATAGTCAGTCAGTCAAGACAGCTGAGAGACTGAAAGGAACAAATTATTTCAGTGGTCAGCATTTTAATCTTTGGAAAAATAGTTACAGAATCGACAGAAATAAACAATATTGTTTCCTTCCTTGGGAGCCAACAGTGCATCAGAGAGACAGGCATATCCATAACTAAATTATATTATAGGAGAGATTTGGGGCAATATTCTAATAGGTCCCCCAAAAGCACTTTAGGAGCATTAAGAGGGAGTGATGTATTCCAACTAATGTCACCGTTGAGGTTCCATGTTCAGTTATTCTCACCTTCTATAAAACATGTCTGCCTTCCCAGTTCATTTCCTTTGGATCAGTCCAAAACTCTTTCAGACCCATAAGGTTTTTTTTTTTTTTTAAGATTTATTTATTTATTTAAAGTCAGAATTACACAAGGAGAGAAGGAAAGGCAGAGAGAGAGAGAGAGATGCCTTCCATCTGCTGGTTCATACCCCAATTGGCCAAAATGACCAGAGCTGAGCCAGGAGCTTCTTCTGAGTTGCCCGGGCAGGTGCAGGGGCCCAAGGACTTGGGCCACCTTCTACTGCTTTCCCAGGCCATAGCAGAGAGCTCGTTCGGAAGTGGAGCAGCCGAGACTCAAATCGGCACCCATATGGGATACTGGCACTGCAGGCGGTGGATTTACCACTATGCCACAGTGCGGGCCCCAGGCCCATCAGATTTTTTGAAGTCTATTAAGACTAGTAAGGAAATTTTGATTATTTTCCCCCAATTTTTTGTGGAATCAACATTTATTGGACCTAAACATTGTAAAAATCTTACAGAACCAAAGACTGCCTGCAAGCAAATTCCTCCAAGAACTTCCAAGTTTTGTATTTTAGGGGCTTTCAAGTGTTCTTAAAGGCCGAATACTAATGCACATCTTTAAATCAATTGTACAAGCTTTTATCACAACACTAGTACAGTTCTGTTCAAACTGTAAGTGTTAAGAACCGGGTGATCTTTGATGCTTGAATTCTCAAAGTGCTCTGCATTTCCTTATGTACCTTTTCATACATAATTTATTTATTGAAGGGATGGTTTGTAAGTATTCAGAAAAGTGAAGAATGATGAAATTAGTTTCAAAAAGTTTATCTTCATACAAAATATTTTCAATTCTTGATAATTTTTAAAATTATTTTTATTTATCATTTCTGTTAATATAGAGAATAAATTTCATAAATTTCATAGATACAATTGTAAGAATGGAATGATATTTCCCTCCCTCCTGTTCTCTCCCATGATTTTTTGACGTAAAGTTTTACTGTGCCTCAATATGCATTAACTGTAGCCGTTATAACCTGCGAAGTTAAGATTCTGTGAACTAACAACACGAATAGGATAAGTAGAGGATTCACACTGGATTCTGAGCAAATCGCACACACACACACACACAATCAGTAAATATGCACATACATAAAAGCACTACGTGCTAAACAGTGGATGGTATTTACTTACTATCTCCAAAGGGTCATGACCGATAGGTAAACAAGTATAGATTCCAATCAAAAATAAGGGTTTGTTTTTATAGAGAAATGTCTTTATCAGTAGAAAACCATGTATCGTGAAGGTTCAGTGCCACTTCCAAGTTCCTGCTGGCCCTCATGCTTTGGAATGCCTCCTGTTAAGTGTCATTCTCCCAGTAGAGCCTTGTAGAACGCTGAGCTTAGAAAGCACCTTAGAGGCCATCTGAGTTGGTCGTCACATCTGTCCATATGCCCACTTTTCTTTTACACAAACTCTTTCTTCCTTCTCTTGGGGAGGATGTTGCTGTGGCTCACCACATAAGCTCGGTTATAAGGCTGTACTTCTTCAACGGACTGCCCCAAGTGGGTCAAAGGGAAACCCAACTCAAAGGAGGTGGCGTCTTGCCTCACTGTGATCCTGTGGAAGAACATGCACTCTGCTCTGAGGAGCCAGAGAGCAGGGGAAGGCAAGCACTGAGGACTGTTTGCTCAGCCTCTGCCCAAGCAAGCCTCCTTTTTCCATTTGCTTTTCAGGATCTGGTAGTCAGCTCAGGGAACAGAGGCATCTGCTCCTATTTAAAAATAAGTTAGAGAGCATTAGACTCATCTTTAAAAAAATACAACTTTAAATTTGGAGAAAAACCCTTGTTTAATCACATTGTGTCTGTGTCACAAGCTGGAAAATGTCAGGAAATTCCAAGCTAAAGGCAGATACTTCGTCCATAACTCATGCCACGAGACTTATTTTTATTCTCTCATATGCCTGCTAACAGAGGATGAAGCATTAGGAAAACTGACTTTTTGTTTTGTTTTGGTCTTGTTAGTTCATGTCATAACCTTGGCATTACTCTCTCATTTTTTAAAATTTAATAAGAATATGAGATTATACTGTTCTCCTATTTTTTGTTAGTGCTGAACAAGCGCTTTTGGCACTCACAATTCAAATTACTGCCATGGTGCTCTGTGCCTCAGTATGTTTGGCTATGAAGTAACATGTCCTGACCTATCATCTATCTTTAAGCCTTGAGAAAGAAATTATTGTAGCATTCCTGCTCTTTGCTTATATATATAAATCTGTGATCAATGACATGTCTTCAGCTCTGAAGTTAGCACAAAACTATGAAGAATAAAAAGAGCAGAGGAGATGGGGTGGGAAAGGGGTGAGGAGTGAGGGGAAGGAGAGAAAAAACAACAAAGATTCCCAAGCAGAAGAGTATTAAATCCTGCTTTGTGCCCAGCAGCCATGAGTTCTGGATTTTATAAATGGGATGATGAATGTATGTAACTCCAAAAATATGTAGCTCTTTCTCTTTTGAATGTGGAAAGTGTTCATTTTTCAATCTGAGTGCCCTGAATTTCTGTATTGTTTTAGAGTTGTGTACTATGTAATAAAAAAAAAATGGATTCTTCCCCAGACATAGCATAGTTCACATCTCTAAAGATTTGAAAGCTTGATCACTCAATCATCTAGGAATAAAGGAGAAAAAATGCAACATTAACACTAGGGGTAACCTTTCCTGATTATGATTGTCAGTCATTATCACAAGAGCTAAACATATAGAGAATAGAAACAGGAATATGGCTTTGGTGAGTAGAGAATACTCTACGATGCATTACACTTTGCTTAAATGTTTGGTTTTTATTTGAGAGGCAGAATTACAGAGAGCGGAAGAGACAGAGAGAGAAAGGTCTTTCATCTGATCCTCCATTGCTTTCTCAAGCCACAACAGAGAGCTCGATCAGAAGAGGAGCAACCAGGACATGAACCTGCACCCATAGGGGATGCTGCTGCCACAGGTGAAGGCTTAGCCTACTCCGCCATAGTGCCAGCACCTGTAATGGATTATACTTTAAGATCAGTTCTCCACAGTTAGTAAGTATTTACTGAAGACCAACCATGTATTTTTCCTATTGCTTACTATAAGCATAAAGCATAGGACTTGCTTTTTATGAGTTTCTAATCTAATTGAAATATGGGAGAATCAGCTGTAGAAAATACTATGTAGGATATAGGACATAAGATATAGGGCAGTGCTCATATAGCCAACAATGCTTGGAAATCTATTTGTAGGAACTGGTCCTGGGATCCCTGAAACCACTACTGCAGTGGCTTAATTCATGATTCCAGGATCATGCAGATTTGATTTTGAAACATGTAAACTTGTGTTTCAACAATATTTACTGAGTGCCTACTCTGTCAGTTTCTGTGGTGGACACGAGTGATGCAATAGGAGTAGGAAGCATATACAATCCTTTCCTTTATGTAGCTTACAGGATTGTGTGTAACACGAATATTAGCAATCACATAAGCATACAATTCCAAATTGTTTTAAACTCTGAAGGAATTGTGAAAGATGAAGAGGAGAATAGGACAAGGACTCAATTTAGACAGGAAAGTCGGGGAAGACGTCTCTAAGGCAGAAACCAGTGAGCACATCACCAGGCCTCCTGGATGTAAATGGGGCAAAGGAGGATCAGAGTCATGGAACACAGCTTAGAGACCAACATTTTCTTTAAAGTGACATGAATGGGATTGAAATGATTTCTGAAATTCAATCTTCTCATGAATGGAGTTGATATACTGATACTTACCACAGGTTTATATTAGAAAATAGATAACAACTGCTTCTTTACAGAGATAGCAGATTATCCTCGGAAAACTTACTGAAACCTTATCAAAATTAGGAAAATGCATTTTGAGGAACTCCAAAACGTTATAGAGGAAAATGTATAAAATATTTATTGTACCATATGGAGGAAACAATAAGGGGAAGATGTTATGCCAGTAGTGGGAGATAATTAATGATAGATTCTTTAGGAGGCTAGTACTTTTTTTAAGTTCAACAAAGTATTAGATTTATGAGGCAGTATGTTCAAAAGTTCACATAACTAAATACACAAACCGGCTTGTTTGTTTTGGATCACTCAGTGTCTGAGAATGAATTATTCATTCAAGCATTAATAAATTAGAATTTTTCTGTTTGGCAGTTGAGAAAATTTACTTAAGGAAATAAAAGAGATATCCACCAAGTTTGGCCTGGCTGGTGCATTTTTTTTTTAAACTGGCTCAAATCTCCAGTCTTCAAAAGTAAAGAAAGTTCAAGTTATATATTAATATGTATCTTTTACTCCACTGATTTACAGTACATGTAAAAACAAATCCTGAGATTGGTTGGAATTAAAGTATGAAAGCAGCAAGAAGTCACCTGTATATTATCCAACTCATGATAACACTGCCTAAGGTCTGAGAGACTCTACTGTAAGAATCAAAACCGATGGAATTTTCCTCTATCATGGAATAACCCAACTCCCTTTCAATGTGTCATTCTATAACTCCTCCCCTCCCAAGCTTAAATATAAGTTTTCTTTTACATTCTCTGCTGTACTATGTTTTTGGTGACTTCATACTTCTGAAAACCATTACAGTTTGAGCCTATTCTTATATAGAGACAATAGGAAACGTACTTCAAACAGTCACCTTCAACAGGGGATATGTAGACAATGAATCATTAGAATCTAAAGTGTTCTTAAAAGAAAAATAAAAGATTGTTTATGTGGTACTCACCCAGCAAATCAAGACTTTTAAGTTCTTTTTTAAGATTCATTTGTTGATTGGAAAGTCAGTGTTACAGAGAGAGAGAGAGAGAGAGAGAGAGAGAGAGAAGTATCTACCATCCACTAGTTCACACTCCAAATGGCTGTAACAGTCAGTTCTGTGCCAGAGCCAGGAGACAGGAACTCCATCCTGGTCTCTGATGTGGGTGTCAAGGGCCCAAGTACTTAGACCATCTTTTTCTGGCTTCTCAAACACATTAGCAGAAAGTTGGATCAGAATCAGAGTAGACAGAACTTGAACTGGCACTAGTACATGGGATGCAGAGGTTGCATATAGGGGCTTAACCTTGTTGTGCCGCAACACTGGCCATTATTTCTTAGGTTGTAAGAGGAAAGATTTTCCACAGTGGCTGTAGCAATCCCACTACTGGGTATATATATATATATATATATATACACACACACATACACACACACAATGTGTATATATATATATATAATTAACTCAACCCTCTAGGAATTGTACTTTATTTTTCCTTTTCTAAAATATGGAAGTCAAACATGTAATTAATGAATTAAAGATGTCCTTAAAACAGGTACTTTAAAATGTCTAATTAGAATTACCTATCATCTTTTTAAACAACAAACCTGCACATTCCATTGGACAGGATATTCAATTTAAACAATTAAACCTTTTCCAAATGAGTGTTTATTAATTGAGCCATAACCTTACAGTGGAGTCCCTTTCTACTTCCTCTTGTCAAATGTACTGAGGATACAATGCGAGCTATTTGGCAGGTGGCCACACCATAAAGCAGCAGGATGTTTTCAGCAGACTACATGATGAGTTGCCAGAGTTTTGCCATTTGGCTTCCTAGCAGGTTTCTTCCTTTTCTTCTTTTTTTTATTCTTCCTATAAAAATTTATGTTTTCTTAGAATTATGATTCTTACCTATAATTAGCATTATGCTATTTATAAACAGTTAAATGGAAACATGACTTAGAAAATGTTTTTCAAAACACATGGAATACATTCAGGAGGATTTTCTCAAGATCATATAGATTGTTTCTAATGAAGTGATTAATTGTTATTGGTTATAATAATTGATTGTCAATGTCTGTTGTCTTGCAGAAGCCCCATTTATACTTCACATTAGTGCAAATTATATGATGTGTACTTACCAAGCAGACTAAAATTTTATTACTTAGTACTTTGCTTTCATTTTCTGAAAATATTTGTATTTACAATACTTTTAAAAGACATTTTTTGGTTTCCATTTGTACATATGTACATATTTATGGGGTACAATGAGATATTTTAATACATATATACAATGTGTACTGATCAAGCCAAGGTAATTAATATTTCCCTATTTTTTCATTACCTTATGATGGAAGTCTTGGATCCTTCTCCTCTGCTTGCTCAGAAAATATATAATAGGTTGTTATGATCTACAGTCATCCCGCAACAGTATGTAACACTAGGAACTTATTCTTTCTACCTTTGACTTGCTACCCACTATCCCTTTCACCCCTCCCAATCTCTAGTAACTACCATTCTGTTTTCAGATTGAGTTTTTTTTTAAGCTTCCATATTTGAGATGGAACATGCAATATTTGTCTTTCTGTGTCTGATTATTTTACTTAACATAATGTCAAACAGATTCATCCATTTTGCTACAAATGACAGAATTTTATTCATTTTATAGCTGAATAATATTCTGCTGTGTATATATACTGCATTGTCTTTGTCCATTTTTCTGTTGATGGACACCATGTTTGATTCCACATCTTGGCTATTTTGAATAGTACTGTAATAAATATGATGGTGCATGTGTCTGGTATACTTATTTCATTTCTTCTGAGTATATAAATGGCAGTGGGATTGCTAGATCGTATGACAATTCCATTTCTAGTTTTTAAAGGGATTTCCATATGTTTTCCATAGTAGCTATATTAATTTACATTCTCACCATTAGTGTGTAAGAGTTCACCCTTCCTACAACCTTGC